TGAATCTTGATTATGATAGGACCGATTTCTTTTGGTAGAATTGTCTGAACTAGTTAACAAAGAAAACATTTTCTCATTTATGTGTTTTGAAGAACTGTTATAATTAATATGAGAGACATGAATTCTTACCTCATTTTAACATCTGAAATATAATTTTCTTGAAAGTCTTGCAAGTAGTATAGTCAAAAACTACTACTCAATGTAGTATGGTTTTGACCATCTTACATGAATTGTTGTTCATGTCAAAAACTGCTCACTGGTGTCACTAACATTTACAGTTCCATGGCAAAAATGTATGTGCCACTCTCTATATTACATGTAACTTTATAGGTAAATTAGACTTCCAGAAAATTCTTGAGCATCTCCTGAGTAAAAATCACGCCATGAGCATGAAAGTGCCAAATGTTTGTTTCTGTTGCAGAGAGCTTTGTAGAATAGGAGAACTCAACTCTCACTGACTATCACAAGAGGTGAGGGCCTCCTGCATCTTAGCAGGTTTAAATAATATCCAAAATATGAGTATTTAATGCACTCATCATACTTAAATGAAATGACACAAGTAATCAAAAAGAAGTGGTGCTGCTTCTGGAAAGAGCAGTCTTTCAAAAGAGAAGAGATTACCCCTGCAGAAGCGAAGGCAAAGTCACTATTTAGTGATAAAGAGGCATTCTGCCTTAATTTGGAAGGACCTGCTTAATGAGCCATGCTTAGTTCCCATGGACAAATTTATTACTCTCACTTAACATGGATATCATTATTAATTAGGCAAGCAGGAGTCATACTGTCCTGTCAGCAGAGATTCTGGATTACCCTGAAGCTGGCTGTGAGCCAATGTCTTTCGTCACAGCCCATCCTTCAGCAGGACTACAGTCCCTCCAGTGAGAATTAGCACACTGCTAAAAGTTTATTGTGGGCTTCTTTTCAGAGAGTTTTATTAATTCACAACGAGAACATCAGGGACAAATGGTACAACTAATCATTATCAGTATGAAAGAGTTCTTAAAAACTCAACATGAAATTGGCTTGTGTCCATCATTGACGAAATGAATATAATAATAGCAGATTCTTAAATGGGTAGACTGACATTTATATTTTAATTGAAGTAGTGGTTTGGTAAAAGTTAATTAATGAAGATTCCTGTTTCATCCAGACCTGGTTTCGAGACTCTTGACAAGTTTGTTTTTTTGTTTTTTTGTTTTTTTAATTTGCAGACTTTTGGACAATTTCCAGATGGATTCCTTAAAAAAAAAAAGTGCTTTAAATTCCTGTCTTTATAAAGACATTTGGATAGCTATCTTTTAGCTTTGCCTACATATTGATTTGTCCAGTTATCTATTGCACAAATTATTACATTCTATAAACCTAGAATGCAGATTTTTAATGCATGAGGAGAAATGCAAAACTAAAGAAAGGTCTTGCAGAAAAAGCAGAAAAAGTTTCAGAAGCAGTACTAATGGGAACCTTACACATAACTTTTTTTACATGTAGAATGGAATACCACTAGTTAGGAAAGGAATACTTCATATGTATGCTAGCAATTTTAGAAAAACTAAAATACGTAATTTAAATATATTTGGCTTACAGTTCTCTTATCATGGACCTAATCATAGATGATGATATCAAAATCACAAGTATATACATTAGAGCTAATCACAAATTAAAATTATGATTAGGTTAAATTATTATTTCTGGGGAAATGTTGTATTTTGTTTTCATTCTGAATAGGAACTTCACAGAATGGAAATTCCAATAATAAATGAGTCCATTATGTGTGTTGTTTGTCACAGTATAATGTGGTTGATGAAATATTCTGAACTTTTTATATGCAAAACACTGAGGGGAAATACTTCCTAGTACTGATTAGGTTTTTCCTAAATCAAAGCATGCTCTCATTTTCATACCTAAGTAGCAAAAACTTGGATAATTATTGTAGATCCCACTTAGCTTTCTATTCATCATCTGGGTTTGATGTAATGCTTAGTAAAATCTAGTACAATTCTTTCTTACTGGCAATTTTCATAATGAAATACATAGGTTTTTATTTAATCACTTCAAAGCCTACAGAGATTTTTGCAGTTTTCAAGTGTTTTTTAACAGAGATCAATCTCAATCAAGCTTCTAACATTTTATTTTTCACAGTCTGTGCACTAACTCTACTATTTTCCTAGACAGCATATTCTTTTCAATAGGAGACACAAAAAGCACATAAGACTGGAAGAGTCTAAGAGTATAATTTAAAAGCATCAAAACTTAGCTGTGCCCAGCTAAATAGAGATATGCATTCTGAAACTCAGCTATGCACTAAGCTCTGTCCCATTTGAAAACAGGGATTATATTAAAGTCAATGATTAGTGTGATCCCCCACAGTCGTGTTTCCGAAAAGCTTTAAGCTTCGTCACTAATAATTACTTACTCTTTACTAACTGTAGTAGACATAAATAGGTAAAGATGAGTTCAAAATATTTTTAGTTTCTTCTGTGGTTGTAGCTATGAAGAACTAAAACCTTCCCCAGGAAATACATGTACCTTACACATGAGTCTTGCCAAACTCCATGCTGAAGAGGCCCTTTGGGTTTTGGGCTAATAGGCCCATTCAATCAGGTTTAGCTCTGGAAGCACAGGGAGTTCAAGATCCCTTTTAAGATTTGTTAGACAAGAAGTGCTACTTCTAAAAGAAGTAGCTTTTCTGCCCTGGAGGAGTGAGGGTTTTCCAGTGCTTTTGCTCATCCAGAATTGAGATTGCTCAGCCTGGAAGAGAGAAGGCTTCAGGGTGAACTTACTGAGGCCTTTCAGTATCTAAGGGGATTCTATAAGAACGATGAAGAGGGGCTCTTTTCAAGAGCATGTAGTAGACAAGACAAGGCAGAATGTAGGAGACAGTACTCATGACAGAGAATAGGCTTAGATTAGCTGTTAGGAAGACATTTTTTGTTGTGGTGGTAGTGAGGCACTGGAACAAGTTGCCCAGAGAGGTTATGGATGTCCTATCCCTAGAAGTGTTCAAGGCCAGACTGAATGAGTTCTGAGTAACCTGGTCAAGTGAAAGGTCTCGCTGCCCATGGCCATAAAGGGTTGGAGCTGGGTGATCTTTAAGGTCCCTTCAAGCCCAAGCCACTCTGTGATGCTGTCTTTTGTTGCTACACATAGCCACAAGGTTAAACATTTGTCACAGTGCTGCTGCTCTGTGTGCTTTGAGGCTCTGTGTGCAATGGAGCATAGATGTCATTAGCAACAACCTGGACATTATATCCTCTATTTTGAATGCTGGTCAGGACATACTGTGAACAGAATTAACACTTCAGTTTTAGTAGAAGGGCCTGAATGAAAAGGAAAAAAAAGGGGGAAAGAAGTACTAAAAAATACAAAAGGTGTTTCTGATAGGACAGAGACTATTATTTAGCTACACCTAACTGGTTCAACTACACATCTTTGTAAATATTTGGAAGAAAAATATGGAACAAGATTTTTTATTTTTTTTTAAATGCTGTCTTTTAAGATCAAACATGTTCATGCTGATTTTTTCATACATGACTAAATATTGTACAGCTACTAAGCTTAGCACTTGATGGAAGTAAGGAGGGAGATTTTTCCACAGTGACTGGTCATTTTAAAATCATAGTGACTTGTTTTTTCATGATGATTGAAAAGAGTAGATATGATGCCTCCATAGCTGATTCTTCTAGAAATTGTAAATGACGCTTCAGCTAGAAGCACTCATGAATGCATGCTGTACTGGCTTTCTTGAACAAGTCGATCACTTTACTACTGAATGAATGGAAAGGGGAAAGTGGTGCTTGCTCTCCCCTTGCCTACTTGTATACCTGAGAGTGATAGTTTCAGGCAGGTTCCTGTTGTATATATTTTGTTCTCAATCAGCTTTTGGTTGCTGGTTCTCTGCCCCAGGGAGAGCTGACATGAACAATATAAGCTACTCTTCCAGCTTGTATGAGCTGGTTGTGCTCCCCTTGGTCTATTCAAGTTGTGTATAACCAGAAGGCAATACTGTCCCGTGAGTCTCCTATGCTCAGCTTAACTCTGCCCTTTGCTATGGGGTAACTTTGTGAAAATTGCATGCAGGCTACTTATACCCAAATCTCCAGATGTATTGGCATTGACAGCTGGTGAGCTTGTGACTTGTGGCAACTTCTTTGATGTAGCAGTGACTAAGTTAATTAAAGCTGTTTCTGCAAACCTGTTTTTCACAAGAACAAATTACATGCGAGAATTTTAGCATAAAGCATCCTTTTTATTAAATAAATGAAGTTTAAAAAATATTTTAAAACAATTTAATGAATGGATTTTCTGATTAACTTGCTTATTCTTTGGTTTAGTACTGATTGCAAATACTAGCAATCATTAATTAATAAATATTTATAACCCGATGTCCATTATGTGATGTTATGTTGAAAGTAAAGCCAAAAGTAATGTTCTCCTCCAGGACCAAAGCCAGCAACCTAACCATGGGCAGCCACTCTAGTCTCTACCTGCAGCTTCCATTTAAAGACTAATTTTGTAAGCCTGCAGAAATATGAATTTGTTTTCTCTAGCCTCTATAAAGAAAATAGAACATATGGACTTTTCATTCTTCTTAAAATAAATATATTCTTTTGACCAACCTTCCAGAGTAGAGTGTATAAGTCAAATAGGTCAGAAAAGCTGATATTTGTGTTCCTCATGTGAATAGAAAGTGGAAAACTTTCACAGAATGTATCTAATCTAAAGAATATAGCTGATAACATTTTTAAGAAGTGATTTGTTAAAATATTCGAAGTTACTGCTGGAGATATGCTGTTCTGTACCATTCTGAATGTAGGCATCATTTTTAAAATTCATTGAAGTGTCAATGTTTAGACCAAACCCCTGATTTTCAGTTCCTCAGCAACTGTGGTTATTCCTGTAATTTAAAATGCCTTTAAAAATGCTGGGTTTGACGCATAAATGTTGCGATTAAAAATATTAATTGATGTATGCCAGATTATATAACTTCAGGTTTTCATCAGGACAGTGATCTACTGGACCGTCGGAAACATTGCTTCAGTGTCCAGTCTGAATCTGGAGAAGATCTTTACTTCTCTGTGGAACTAGAGTCTGACCTAACACTATGGGAAAAAGCCTTCCAAACAGCAACTTTTTTAGAAGTTGAACGGATACAGGTGAGAACAACTGCCTTGTTGATCATCTTTTGGTACATTAAAAAATTAGGCCCATATGAAATAATGATGTAAATTAAGAAATTTTACAACCTCCTGCAGCTCTCAAGTTATTACTGTTTTATGTAAGTAATTGCTTTGCTGTTCCCGAACAGCTTGCAAGCCAGCCTTCAGAAGAGGTCACCTGAAATACAATCTTTGAGTTATTATGACAACATGATACATATTTGTTAACTGAAGTTCACGGACAGAAAAACAATCTATGGATCAGGGAAAAAAATGCAGGTGTTTAGATATTCTTACTGGCTTGCATACTACCTTATTTGTTACTGAATATCACAAGAGAACTTTGCAGGAATTAAGTAGTCCTTCTAATAGCAGGAATGAGAGTATACTGAGTGAAGTACTTGCTAGGTACAAGTAAGAAGAAGTTGTACCTCACATGCATTATTCTTTCTTCACCCATTTCCTGTTCCTTGTGTATGTGCTCTATTGTTAGGTGTCAGCGCAGTGATGGACAACATTCAAATACAGATTACTAGTGACTTTTTATAGCAAAATTACATATCAGCGTGTTTAAAGATAGCTTCTCACATGACCAAAAAGTCATGACTTTTTGACATAAAAAAGGAGAAAAAAGCCACCCACCACAGTTGTAATTCACCTAATCCCAACTGTAATATTGATTTTCTAATAATGAAATATACATGTGGTTAGAACAGCTTTAGTTGCTGTTGGCAACAGTGATACACACCTACCTGAGCCGTATTAGCATATTAGCCTGTGCAAGTATTGGCTCACACATTTTCTGTGTCCTCCTGGGAATGCAAGCAGTGGCATGTTTTTATTCAGAAAAAACTGTTAGTTAGTTATATATTAGCCCTTTTCTGACCTGCAAACCACCACATGCAGATGCACTGAAGTAGTATATACTCATGAAGATCCAATATGCGAAAACTACCCCGCTGTCAGTTTTGACACACAGCTACTTTTGTTGCAAGAGGCGTCAGGGGAGGCTTGGCTTTCCTGTTTTAAATTCATATATGCTGTTACCTTTTATAAAAAACTATTCTTATCTTTTAAGCTGTACTCGCATGCTGGAAAATCTAAGACTAGGTTTTCTGTGTAAAACTTGTGATAATGTTTATCCTCTGCCACTAAATATTTGAGAGTTGTTGACTTATATAATTCACTGCAACATACTTTATAGTAGCACTGCTATGCCATCAGTAAAAGAATATAGGACATTTTTCCTGAATAAATTTTATCTCAGAAGCCACCTCATATTTGTTCTACTTTCAGATTGATTTATACTGTAGCATTCCTGGTTTAGCTTTTTCTTTTGAATTTTAGAATTGCATTTATTCAAAATTGCCTTCAGGCTTCTCCAAAATAGTTTCCTTTATAATCTTAATCTCAGATTCATCTTAATATTTTTACCTTTTTTTTCCTCTCTCCTCATGTTCAATGTAGCAATTAAGAACTCAAAGTAATGATTTCCTGATCGATTGGTTGGTTGATTATAGCAGATCTGTGAAAGTGGAAAAACAGGCTTCTCATGATAGAATATTATTGTGGAACTCACACTCATTATTTCACCTTTTTTTCTTTATTTTCTATATCATGATTTGGAAAAAAATATGGAATATTTTAAATATAAATGGCTTTTGCCTCCTCATTTTTCTTTTAGCAATCCATTACTGCTTTCAGCTACCAACCTGCAGATGCAGAAAAAATCTGGTGGTATACTTTGTTTCTAACAAGGTCTTTCATTGCTATGTGAGAAGAAAAAAAGTGAGAGGTTCAAAATTAAGCTGTCAATGGTACATTTTTACTAAAATTTTGATCTATGCAATTGTGTTGATCTAAATATTCATATTTAAAGTGAATGCTAATCCAGTAGGTTTGTCTTACAATAAAATAATATAGCTTTGAAAATATAACTTCAGTTTAAACCTACCATTTAAAAATATTCAACTGTGTTGTGTGCTACTCCATAATCATGCAACAAGTAACTCTTATTCATTGGCTATAACCTCCAGAAGAGGTTAATCAGGGGGCCAATTCTAATCTAATTTCAAAGAATATATAACAAATTCAAATATTTTTAAATGCATTACCATAAATATATAATGAATTCTGTTTCAACCTAATTCATAGCTTCTGCCAGAGGTATATCTAAACTAAAAATTAAACAGTTGCTTTTTCTTAGAAAATAAATATATTAGAAGAGGCATAGTCAAATTGATAATAATTTAGCAATAACATGATACAATGATACAGTGGTGTCATTTTGATGTGTTACACTCACTCTTTAATTAGTTTTGTAATGTAGTAAGTGATAGTAATCCATTTTCATAATTTCCTATTAAAAAACAACATACTTGAAATGAAAATCCTTTTTCCTTACTCTCTCACTGCATTATTGCACAAAGAATCTGTGACTACTATAACTTCCCTAATGATGTGCAATTATATATATGCCTGTCACATTCCCTTTATGTTCCTGCTACTTTAAGCTAATATTTTCACCTCTTGCCTCATGAATTTTTTTCTTGCTGTCCTTGCTTGTATTGTAGTTGTTTGTTCTCTAATGTAAGGATTATTATGTAAACTGTTTTAAGTTACAGTACTTTAACATATGTTTTCATTGAAGTTGAATCTGAGTTTAAAAGTCTGAATTAAGTCTTAGCTTTAAAATTCACTTTGTTTCAGCTTCAGAGAGGGCTTACATGAAGTTCAAAATATATTGTTCTTTCCATAATTTAAACGGTGCATATTGAGGGAATAGTTTTTAAGGAACAGCTTCGAGTTGTCTCCTTCAGCCTCTGCCTCACCCATGGAATTATTAATAAACCAAAGTTAACGTTCTGTATTCTGAGGAAGAACAGCAAATGACTGCTGAAGCGTGTTCTGCTTCTTTTGGGAAGGGGATACTTCAGTTCTGATGAGGTTTTCATGAGTTCTTGAGAGAAATCAGCAACCAAACCAAATACCAACAGTATTTATTATTCATAGTCACTTAAAGTTTTAAAATGTTAGATGTATAAGAAATGTTAAATTATCTTGTACCTTGATAACAATTTTTGCCTTTCTGTTTTCTCCAAATATCTGAATTAAAAGGCATCTTAAAGAAAATAAAGATGAGAAAAGTCTTAGAAGAGTTAACCATTGTCTGAAAGTTCACATCCCTACTCTGACCTGTCACCAGAATCATGTGCAAATGGATACAACACCTGCAAAAACGAAGGGACATTCTTCCCCAAGGAAACTAAATTCTCGCTGTCCAGAGATCTTTTTATTATTTTCACATTTTTTCTTCTCTGAATTGTTTTGGAAATCATAGTCTGAGGGCATAGAATGGTCTTTTATAAAAGTAAAGAATAACTAAATAATCAGCTGCTACTAGTGATCTGCAGTTTCTTCCTGTAAAGAACTACACTGAGCTGAACAAGATGATATTTCTCCACAAACTGAGCACTGCATTTTGTAGAAATACCCTTCAGTCTTGGAAGTAGGTTGCTTTTTCAGTACAGCCTTGAAACAAGGCTGGTGTGTCCTGTTTCTCATGAATCTTAAGTTCCCAGTGAGGCTAATTAGCCAGTCCAAGTTCTGGGCTTAAAAGCAGAGGGAGCTGTGCCAGCTCAGCATGGTGCTGCAGGGCACACTGTGGGTTGGCCTCTGGTGTTGAGGTGGGAGGTTAGAAAACTTTAGATGACAATATGTATTTTAAATCTGATGCACATTTTCCATGCCACATTTAATTTCCAGTAAAGGCTCTAAGTCTGTTGCAGATCTTCAACATTTACAAAATGCAATTTGCATCTTGTAAGATGTTTGCAAGGTAATTCCACAAAACCGTACATTTTTTGCTTTGCATGCAAAGCTTGAAAAGTTTTGCATATGTGACTTAATTAACTATAAGTAACTGTGAAATATATTACTTTACACTTTTTTCTTCTATTAATGAGATAATACCAAAGGCAATATCGTCTTCTTTTTCAGCATTGATTTACAATCAAAATTTACACATTCATAACAGTCTCATGGTGTAGCTGATCAAAGGGAAAAAAATAAAAAGCCACTTTTATTTGTTAATATAAACACTAAGTATGAAGTTTTCAATTTTCCTTCATTGCATTTTCTATTTAGAACCTGTTAATGCAACTTCCAGCTTCTTGTGTTCTATGAAAGACCATTAAGTATCCAAACAGCACCCTCTTACAAGAAGAATATATATGTAAAGGCATCTGATTTATCTTTATAATCAAAATGCCAAAAATAATCATAGGTTCTTTTGTAGTACTTACAATTTGTAACCCACATTGTTCCCACATTTGCAATTTGTATTTTGATTTTACTGACACATTATGGGTCATGGAAGTCTTTGTTCTCATTTCATAATTTTAGCAGTTACAGCAGTATTTGAAGAGTATAGCTGTATTTCATTTAATCTGGAGGGCAAAATGCCTTTAAAATAAGAATAATTTATTTAAAGAACTTGAATCTGATTTAGAAATGTTTTGATTTTTTAATGTATTTTGTGATGAAAAAGACAAGTCTGTCATTTTTCACCTGCAGTCAGCCTTCAAGCACAGCTTGATGCTAAAAATTTCACTTATAAATGTCTCACAGTGTGTATTCAAGTGGGATGTTATGGCAATAAATAGAAGTATATATTTAAAAACATTAGAATGCTAAAGTCTTACAGAATTCCAAGGTTTCTCATAGAAACCTTTGAGATATATTGATATATTGATCCACTATCTGAAGAAAAAAAAAATTTCAGATAATTCCATTTAGCTGCTAAATGGTATGAAATACGAGCTTTTTCCCTGAGATTTAGGACAACAGAAAACCACAAGAAACAGTCTACTAAAGAGATGCTTTATATAAGCTTTTTTTTTTTTTTTTTGCTTGAAAAGATAAAAGGACTATATTAGCCTTAAAAATTGTTGGGTATGAAAAAAAATAAGGAGGTTTGAAAATAATAAATTTTTCCTTTTAGAAAATGTTATTAGTAAGCCACTGAGGATATTCTGAACCTTTCATTTTTTCCCTAATGGAAGCAACGCCTGTTTTTATATGTCTTAGATATCTTCATCACTGATAAAAATCCTTTTATTTGAAATACAAAACAATTGACATATTTACACACAAATGACTTATTTCTGATAATAATTTTGAGGTATATAAACATTAGAATAAGGACTCAGAAACAGTGGTCCTAGAAAAACATTTAAGAAGTGTCTTCTGTGGTAACTGCCTTCTCTGATTTTTCTTTTACAGTGCAAGACGTATGCCTGTGTTTTAGAGAGTCATCTTATGGGACTTACCATCGACTTCAGCACGGGCTTTGTTTGTTTTGATGCTGCCACAAAGGTAAAGTTCTAAGAAATTTTTCCATCACACTGTTATTATTCCTCATTATTTCTAATATTTTGAGATAAGTAGTACATCCTCAAATTGTCCTTCTCTTTGTTATAGAAACAGATTGTAAAATCTCTCATGCTTTAGTTTAAATTCGAGACTGATTTCTAATTATGTGAGAAATAGTATTCTGTTATTTGCTTGTTATTGAAAAATCAATACTGATACCAATCTGAAACAAGCATCAGATCTTTATTCTTTAATTTCACATGAAAGCCCACACTAATTCAGCTTGATGGTTTGTTTTGCTGGTGTGCCCTTGGTTTTGAGAAAAGATAACTTTCTTAATTTCAATCTCATCTGTGAGCTTGAAAATAATCTTCCATTCTCTTCCCTTGTTTCATGGGAGGGAGTGTGTGCTTTTACAGCTATTCCACAATTCCTAGTTTATATTTTAGCTATTATTTTTCAGGCATCTGTAAAAAGAAAAACTAATCATAGTGCAAATATCTCACCCATCAGCTTTTCCTGTCAGTCTTAAAAAAGCTCAGTAGAACTTATAAAAGAGTTTGCTTTATCAAGCAGATAGTATGGAATCAATTTCCATATTGTATTATTGCACGTCCAAGTCTCAGTAAAACCACTGAGACCCTGAATATGTCATATGTTGACATTTGCACTAATTGCTGGCAAGTCCTAAAATGTGCTCAGGCTTTACTGCTACTACTTGACTCTGCTGTTAATGGTAGAATCTTTCTTCTGAGTGAAACTGTGAAATCTTTCTTCTGAGTTACACTTACCTTCAGTACCTATTTTCCTTTGAGATGCTGCAACATTGCCACCACCAACTGCTGAAAATGCCCTTTTGGCTCCAGAATTTGTTCCTATGCTCTATTTGAAGTCAACCCTTCCTACCTCATTATTCTGCTAATCCAAACCCCTTTATTCTTCCCACTCCATTCTGTTTGTTAGCAGAAAGTGATGAATTTTAAATTTAAACACTTACATAACCTTGTTTCTTTTTGTTAAGCAAATAATCTTGTGTAATTCATCAATGGAACGTGACTATCAGTTTAGAAGGTATTACACTAAAATATCAGTACAACAGAATTAAAATGCAGTAGCTCTGTAAAAAAAATGGTTTTCCCCCACCCTCCAATAATATTTATATATATATATATATTTAAAAGTATAATAAAGAATTTCTTTTGTGTATCTAACCTAAATTACCCTTTCAGTTTTACCCTTTCAGTTTGAACCCATTACTTCTTGTATTATATGTACTGTATTGTATTGCATGTTAGAATTAAGCATTACACCATGAATAAAAAAAAAGGACATTGTTTTGTTAGGTAATCAGGCATTAGGCAATGTGAGATAAGGATGACAATTGCATTAGAAAAGATCAGAAACAATACAATAGGAAGCAACATAATCTGTTGCCAAGTGATTGCTGCAATTAAAATTGTCAAACAAGCCATAAGGTGAAATGTTTGAAATCTAAGTGTGTCAAACGCGTTTTAGTGGGTGCTCAAATAGGAAAAACATTACTTAGTCTCCATCAGTTTATGGAAAGATGAAGATTGTAGTGCTCTTAGCCAAAAATTTATTCAGATATCTTTATTATGAAAATGACAAGTGTAAGTTATGTCTGTGCTGGCAATATTCAACAATATTGCTAATCTCATATATACTGAAATGCAAACTAGACCTGTATAGGCACTAAAGCTAAAAATGCTATTTTCCACCTAATGAAGTTCGTATGAAGCAAACTATGCTTAAAAAAAAGAAAAAAAATTGAAAAAACAATGAGAAATGGAAACCATTTTTTGGGACAGGGAAAACATTAGTACGCTTTTAATTAACATATACCTATCTTAGTAGTATTTATATGTGCATTTGTGAATTAAGGGTATCCAAAAGTCCTAGCAAGTGTTCTGTGAATTAACATACTCAGTATTAAAGACAAAAGCATTATTTAAAATGTCATACCATTTGTGAAAACAATATTTACGCATAATTATTTATAATTTCTGGGATTTTTTGCAATTTGTATTTGAAAAATCAGTACAAACTATTATCTTTCCACTTCCAGTGACAGGGTATCCACAGCTCCCTGGGGCATCCTGTTTCACTGTCTCACCACCTTGATCCTCTAAGAGTCCTTTCTTATGTCCAGTCTGAACTCTACCTTCTTCTACTTTGTCCCTTGTCCTGTCACTGTAGGCCTTGGTAGAAGTTCTTTCCCCATTTTTATATAAACCTCCTTTAATTACTGAGAAGCAGCAGTAAGATCTCCTAGAGCCTTCTCTTCTTCAGGTTCAACAGACCCAACTCTTTCAGCCTGCCTTCATGAAAGAGATGCTCTGATCGTCTTAGCGGTCCTGGTCCTCCTCCTGTACACGTTCTCCTCTGTTATTTTGCTGCTGCTTAGACCAAATTCAGCCACTCCTTTTTGGGTAAAAATTAACTTAAAGCCATATTTCATAGAGTTCGCGAACAGATTGAACTGTTCATTCTGTATTTCTCTCAGAATAACTCAGAATAGCCCTGCAGATGCAAGATATTTTAGTGAATTCACAGGTCTTAGACAAGTACCTGGAGGAAAAATATTATTATATTTTTCCTGCTAAATATTATTAAATCTTTAAAATTCTTATTTATTTATGACATTTTCATGTTTTGGAAACAAAATAGTTTCTGAGAAGTCCTATCTAATATTTTATTGCAGTGATATCTTCAGTAAATCTTCAGGAAATTTCAGTTTTATATTATGTGCTCATGGTATTTAAAGTTTTCTTTCTTAATTGCTAATGAAGTGACTGTGAATTGTCTTTATAAGAGCATAATTACTAATAAACTGAAATGAAGGAAGCCAAGTTCTTGTGTTCATGATTTTTACAGTTATTCAGTTATTCAAATGTTCTAGTTATTTAAGCAGTGCCACAATATTTAAATTCTTTTTTCCTCTCCCATTTCAAGTAAGTGAATAGATTTTGTCCAACATGCCCTGACAAATTGCAGTCAAAATTTCACAAATTTTCTAAACCCCATGCTCACCCCCAGTCTTCATGGACAAGTGTCTAGGAGATAATGGCTCTCATTAAGTTTATGATTTCCAGACAAAAGCCTTACAACCCTGTGTAGGCTTGTTTCCTTGTTTGCTGTCATTTAATCCTTAAATAATACTTAACTATGTAAATTGAAATTAGTGGTTAAAAACTATCATCTGTGCTAAATGTATTTCAAGTCAGACATCATAATTAGATAAAAACATTCTCTCTGTGTCTGCACAGACCTATGATAAATATGAGTACACAAAGTATTAAACTGAGTTATTCAGAAAAAATCTGTGCTGTGATGTGATTATAACAGCACTAGCATAAATCATAGCTGTTTCTGCTGCATATTTCTCTGCTTTCTCGTATTCATTTTCTGACTGATAACTCATAGAGTCAACAGTAGTTTGTCATTTGGAGTATTTTCAAATGATGCTTTATAAAAAGCTGTTGTATTTTCTTGAAAGGAGAATGAACAGCTTTTAAGACTACCTGGTTAAATCTAGTTATGTCAAAATTTCAGAAAATTACTTCTCAATTTAGGTAAAAAAACAAATAAAATTTTGGCCACAAAGTAATTTTTCTCCTTGCACCTTGAAAAGTAATGATGCGTATATTTATGCCCCTATTCTTCTGCAGCACTTTTCAGAGCCAAAGCACCAGTGCAAAATGTCGTCTTTTATTAGCAATGTGTGGTTTGACAGCAAACTGTGACACACAGCCCAAGCCAACACTGGCACATGTTTGATTATGATAATGTTGGTGATGTAGTCCTTAATTTGTGGTAGTTATAAACCTGGAGTCAAAAAGCCACCTGCTTCCTGTGTTGGCATGCACTGAAATGTAATTCTAATCAATAGGGAGTTTCCTCAAGACATCTCTTCACTGGAGACTTCTTCCAAAAAATGCCCACCAGCTTTAACCAATTTTATTTGCTTTATTTGAAATACAAGATGTCAAATAGAATCCCCTCACTGAACTTCCCTCTTTCTTAATTGCTGTTATTCTGTGAAAAGTGAATTTAGCTAATCTTTGTGAATACCCTTTAGATATTTTGTTTTCTTTTCTGCCTTAATCTCATTTCCCAGATTCTGTTTAGTTACTCCTTGAACTACAAGGTGTCTTAGTATACAGGATCTACTCCAGAAATAAGTTTTCACTAGACATGTTCCATATGCTAAATGTTTTGTTTGGTTGGTTTTAAAATATGAAAATTCTAAAAAATGTGCAAAAGGTTCTGTGGCAGTTCTTAGAAGTTATATATACCAAATTTTATCCTGGGTAATTTTTGCACTATTGTGTATCAATGTTTACTGGAGAAAACATTTTTCTCCCATCCTGCCCAACTATATCCTCGCACTCATGTCCTGAATTTGTCTAATATTAGCTAGTATATAAACATCAATGTTTTAATCAACAAATGTAACTCTCATGGGCAATGTCTGTTAGGTATGGACGTACATAGATACTGTGATGAACATTTATAAATAAGATTTGCAGCTGCAATAGCCACCTTAAGAATTAAGTATGGAGACTGATAGGTTAAAGAGAATAACAAGTCATGTACAGAAGTTAATCTGTAACTACTATTTTGAAAGTGGTCCAATGCATAAAACTACTTACTCAAGTGCCATTCAGTAACTGATTCTTAATGTGCTTCCATAAAGAATATATGGGGGGGATATACACCGAAATATGTATATTATATATATTTCTGGATTACTGACATATTCAATAATTTTTTTTTCCATAATGCGCATATTTGCATCATCAATTCTACTAATAATATATTATGTGTTTTTGTGAATATACATTGCCATATACCTCCCTGAGCAAAGTGCTGTGTCTGTAGTCCATCATATTTACTGATCATTAAAACAGCAGTCAAAAATATTTATTTGTCAGAAGAGGAAAAAAGTATCCCTTGTAGGACTGAAAATAAATTAAGGTGCT